TAACTAACTAACTAACTAACTAACTAACTAACTAACTAACTAACTAACTAACTAACTTCCTGTGGTCCACTCCTCATAAATGCAATTATGCCCTTGCAAAGTTATAGCCCATCGGTGCAAGTCCACGCACAGAGTCCCATGACAGAAGTGACACATTCCACCCCCCCACCTCCTCTTTTTCAACAAATCCAAGAATGCTAGAAAATATCCCAATTGCAAGGATTGATGACCTGGGAATCAATACGGGATCTGGGAAAAAAAAGAAAAGAAAAAAGAAAAGGCTAATCTGAATGAGTAATCATTTTGAAACGCAACCCCATCTATTTCATGCCAGGCCAGCAAATGAGGGAAAATCCAGACGGCAGAAGAAGCTCCGTGCCGGCTGAGCGAGCAGCCTTCAAGCTCCCTTATCGTTTATCAAGGAGTTCTAACAGATTAAAGTTGCGTTTCAGGGCGGCCCAAAAGATCTCCAGCTCCCAGCTGAGCACCTGGGCTATGAACTGCTTAAGATCTCTTCACAAAAAATGAGAGGACCCACTCGAAAGGGCCCTCGTGAGGACACACCTGCAATCCTGCACCCAATTCTGGCCACCACGAATGCAAAAAAGATGCGGAGACTCTGGAAAGAGTGCAGAGAAGAGCAATAAAGATTGTTAGGGGATTGGAGGCCGAAACATATGAAGAACGGTTGCAGGAACTGGGTAGGTCTAGTTTAATGAAAAGGAGGACTACAGGTAGCAGTCTTCCAAGGGGCTGCCCCAAAGAAGAGGGGGTCAAGCTATTCTCCAAAGGAACTGAGGGCCAGACAAGAAGCAACGGATGGAAATTCATCAAGGAGAGAAGCAACCTGAAACTAAGGAGAAATTTCCTGACACTGAGGACAAGCAATGAGTGGAACGACTCGCCTCCAGAAGTTGTGATGCTCCAACACTGGAAGTTTTTAAGAAGAGATTGGACAGCCACTTGTCTGGAATGGGGTAGAGTCTCCTGACTGAGTGGAGGGTTGGACTAGAAGACCTCCAAGGCCCCTTCCAACTCTGTTATTGTTATAACTGAGAAGTTATAATATATAAGGCAAAAATAATATAAAATACGTAATATAAAAAAGATGTTGGGACTCTAGAAAGAGTGCAGAGAAGAGCAACCAAGAGGATTAGGGGCCTGGAGGCTAAAACACATGAAGAACGATTGCAGGAACTGGGTATGTCTAGTTTGATGAAAAGAAGGACTAGGGGTGACACGATAGCAGTCTTCCAATATCTCAGGGGCTGCCCCAAAGAAGCAGAAGAGGGAGTCAAGCTATTCTCCAAAGCACTTGAAGGCAGGAGGAGAAGCAATGGATGGAAACTCATCAACTAATCAGAAACTAATCAGAACTAATCAGAGAAGCAACCTGAAATTAAGGAGAAATTTCCTGACACTGGGAACAATCAAACCAGTGGAACAACTTGCCACCAGAAGTTCTTGTGGGTGCTCCATGACTGGAGGTTTTTAAGAAGAGACTGGCCAGCCACTTGTCTAGGATGGAATAAGTTTCTCTGCCTTGGGCAGGGGGTTGGACTTGATGATCTCTAAGGTAGCTTCCGGTCCTAGGATGTTCTGTTTATGAATGGATGGATGGATGGATGGATGGATGGATGGATGGATGGATGTAGAGATAGATGATTGATGGATGGATGGATGGATGGTTTGAGTGAGTGAACGAATGAACGAATGGAGTGGTCCGTCCCCCTTTTGCCACTTTGACAGGCAAAGGAACCGAGCAAACAGAAATGTATTTTCCTTTCCAACCCCCCCCCTTTTTTTCTCTCTTCCGTGTTCCTGCCAGATCGGTCCACACTGTGTGATCAATCTTGCTGGCACCTAAACACTTGCTCACTTCTTTCTCCGACCTTCTGTGTTATCGGGCGCGGCACCCATTTATCTTCCCGGAACCAGGTATATCATTTCTACTTAGTGACGGCTCTGGCTAAGAAGCCTTCCCCCCCCCCCCACGCCCCTCCCAATTATGATGATGGAAGGGCTTTGGAGCCAGGACGGCCAGGAGAAAAAACTGGAGAACGCTTTTGCTGAGCTGGTCGGGCTGCTTTGCAAGACGACGACCGACCGTCTTTCCACGAAAACCAACCAGCGTTTTTCCTGCACTTTGGAAGAAGGGGAGGGAGGGAGGGAGGGAGGGAGGGGAACTGATCGTAAGAGTTGTTCTCAGTAGACTCCTAGGACCGGAAGGGACCTTGGAGGTCTTCTAGTCCAGCCCCCTTCCCAAGGGAGAAATCAACTTACAATTGTTCATTTAGTGACTAAAGTTACAATAGCGCCGACAAAAGTGACTTGTGACCGTTTTTCACACTTACGACCATTGCAGCATCCCCACGGCTGCAACATCAAAATTTGGATGCTTGGCCACTGACTCGTATTTATGACCGTGGCAGTGTCTTGGGGTCATGGGATCCCCTTTTGCGACCTTCCAGCAAGCAAAGTCAACGAGGAGGCCAGATTCACTTAATGACGCTAAAATGTTGGCCTGGGGGTGCCACAGACCTCCCAAGGGGGTCCTTAAGACGCAGAGAGGCCAGCTTCTTTCCACAAGAAAACAACCAAGATCAGAGACCACCAAGGACCCCACAGCCTTCCTCTTCCTCCCCTTTCTCGTCCTCCTCCTCCTCCCTGCAAACCTCCCTCCCTTCTAGCACTGATGACGTCACCTAGTAGGGTCATGAAATGTTGGTCAAGCAAACCGCCCAGCTCAGAGAGCACCAAGGACCCCGAAGTTCAACCCTGAGGAGCCACAACGGTTCTCTTCTCTTCCTCTGTCTTTTCTCGAAGGAGACTCTGGCCCAGGGGCGAGAGAGGGAAAGGGGGCTGTTGGGGGGTGGGCAGGGACACAGATCCCCCCCCAAGGAACTGCATGGAGGGAGGGAGGCTGGATGGGAGCAATTCCATCAGAGGTTTGTTAACTCAGTTAGGTCTCACCAGTGCCGAGAACTGGGCAGTGAAGAAAGTGCCTGCCTCTCCTTCCTCCTCCTCCTCCACTTCGCAAATCCTGATGATGTTACCTAGTTGGGTCATGAAATGCCTGCAAGGAAACCACCAAGCCTTGGTGGCACAGCAGACTAAAGTGTTGTTAAGTAACACCAGCTGCCTGCAATTACTGCAAGTTCAAATCTCACCAGGCTCAAGGTTGACTCAGCCTTCCATCCTTCCGAGGTAGGTAAAATGAGGACCTGGATTGTGGGGGCAATAAGCTGACTTTGTATAAAAAAGAACACCGTTTAGGGGGAGCCGAAAGCCCTACTAAGAAGGTATATACAAAAAAGTATGCAGGCTATTGCTATAATGCATTGTAAGCCGCCCTGAGTCTCCGGAGAAGGGCGGCATATAAATCGAACCAATAAATAAATAAATAAATAAGCTCAGAGAGCACGAAGGACCCCACAGCTACAAAAGCCTTCTTCTCCTTGGATGCTTCCTCTCCTTCCCACCTCCACCACCGCTCTTCCCTCCCAAAAAAGCCCCTTCCCGAAACTAAAGAACAGCTGCCCACCCTCCATGAATTCCTCCCTGGTGCCCCTCCCTCTTGGAGCCCTGCAGGAGCTGCTGGCCAGGCACAAGCTCGGCCAAGTCCCAAAGGGGCCTGTTTCCCCCCCCAAGAGGCAACTGGACTTTCTGGTTTTTCTTTGAAGACGTTTCGCTTCTCACCCAAGAAGCTTCTTCGGCTCTGGCTGGATGGTGGGGGATGGTCATTGACCAGCTGTCTACAGGGAGTATCAATCCTTCCGTTCCCCACCATCCAGTCAGAGCTGAAGAAGCTTCTTGGAGGAGAAGCGAAACGCCTTCAAAGAAAAACCAGAAAGTCCGGCTGCCTCTTGGGAGAAAAAGCCCCTTTAGGACAATCGTGACCTGGATGATGGAGTATCTCTGTAGACATAAAGCTCGGCCAACTTTCCTTCCGGCTCCTTAGGACCTGACACAGGTGAGTTGCAGATCTATCCAAGATTGTTCCCAGCAGCATCCGATCAGGAAAGCTGCAGCCTGGTGTGTGTGTGTGTGTGTGTGTGTGTGTGTGTGTGTGTGTGTGTGTGTGTGTGCGCGCCCCGGGACCCCTACAGAGGAGCCCCAGGTGGGTCAGGACACCCTTCCAGGTGAGGCAGGTGAGCCCAAGGGGACAGAGACCTGGCGGCCAAGTTCTCCCTGCTGAAACCGAAGCGGTAAATAATAATTTTTTTTTAAAAAAAAAACCCGGAAGCCACCGCGCTGCGCCTCCCTGAATTTTCCGAAGCGAAAGCGTTTTGCGTTGAGCGTGCTCAGCGGAGCCGTTAAAACAAAACAAAAAAAAAAAGATGCTGGAGCCAGCATCTCCCATTAACGTTACGACCGTGAAATATGACAATAAAATGATAGCCGTATGGCCGCCAATGTGCAAACCCCCGCTTGAGTTGCCAGGGGTTTCATCCTCGCTCCGACCGTGCAGAGAGCTGTAAAATGTTTACAGAGAGGGTCGTTGCCCCCACCTCCTAAAATCCTCTTTTCTCTCTTAAACAAGGCTGAGCGGAGTCATTTACCAAACAGCCCCCCCTCCCCCTCGAACGTTCGCTGGGGAGGGGGGGGTGCGAGGGAAGGGAGGCGAACATCTGCTCGCTGCGGCGATCTTCTTGAACAAATTAACTAAAATGGGTGCTTTCTAATTAAATTAACACTCGATTGGAAGGGCCGGTGGGTGCATTCGATGACAATTGGGGGGGGGGATGGGGACGGAGCAGTGGAGGGGGGGAGCCGTGAGCTGTGGCTGGCACGAAAGCCGTTTTAACTGCAAAGTGCAAGGCAGAAAGGTGCGTTACCTGTGGAGGAGCAACGAGAGGTTTGCTGGCCGGTCAGAAGACAAGGAGTTATAGAATTGGATCTCTCTCCCCTTCACCCCACCCCAAAAGGGGTCTGGGAGGGAGGGGGCCATACGGGAAAGGAGGGCTAGATGGGGCTTTCTACCTGCGTGGGATGGAAGCTCCCACCAGAGATGGATTTGCAGTTGGTTGGACACCCAACTTCAATGTATACTCCTTAATTGATGGGCAGAGATATTAAATCAGTGTTTCTCAACCTTGGAAGCTTGAAGATGGGTGGACTTCAGCTCCCAGAATCCCCCAGCCAGCGCTGCTGGCTGGGGGATTCTGGGAGTTGAAGTCCACCCATCTTCAAGCTTCCAAGGTTGAGAAACACTGTATTAAGTGGGCAGACATTTCACGACCCCGCTAGGTAACATCATCAGGGCTAGAGGGGAGCGGGGTTTGCTCTCTATTTATACACAGTCCCTCCTAGCACTGATGATGGGTAATGAAACTTCTGCATCAAAATTAGCAAGCTCAGAGGGCATCAAGGACGTCCTCCTCCTCCCATATTTCACTCACTCCCTAGCACCGATGATGTTACTTAGTAGGGTAATGAAACGTCTGCAAGAAACAAACCAAGCTCAGGGATCATCCAAGATCCCACATTCCTTCTCCTCCTTCCTCCTCCACCACAAACACTGATGATGTTCCCTAGTTGGGTCATGAAACGTCTGCAAGAAACCCACCAAGCTCAGAAGGCACCAAGGACCCCACAGTCATCTTCCTCCCTCCTCCTCCTCCCTCTCTGCAAACCCCACTCCTTCTAGCACTGATGATGTTATCTAGTTGGGTCATGAAACGTCTGCCAAGAAACCCACCAAGCTCAGAGCCCACCAAGGACCTCACGACTACAAAAGTTTTCTTCTAAAAAGCAAACTTCAGTGAGAAGCCAGAAAAAATTACATAAAAAGGAAGAAACAGAGGGAACACAAGCTGTCTTTACACAGGAAAGGCCCCCTTACTTGGCGCCCGGTGCAGAACTTACCTGCAGCCACTGGCAACAAACCAGGTTTCTTTCTTTCTCTTCTTCTAGATTTAGAGACCATCGTTAATTACCCCAAAAGGGGGGGAAAAGAGGAATTACTCTACATTTCTTTAGCCTAAATAGGGTGCAGGAGCCCCGGGTGAAATCATGGAACAGGGACTGGCTTGAAGAGGTCCAACTGAGAGAGATGAGCAAGGACAGAAAGGAGGAGCATCTGACTTATTTCCTTAATTTCTTAGCTTTCCTTCTTGACAAAATATGACTCAACTCTCAGTCATTCTCCTAGTCCAGGGATGGGCAACTGTGGCCCTTTTACAACCTGTGAACTTCAACTCCCAGAATTCCAGAGATAGCCAAGCTGGCTCAGGAATTCTGGGAGTTGAAAGCACACAGGTCATAAAGGGGCCATATTTGCCCACCCCTGTGGACCTAGTCCAATTTGTAATCTTCTACACCAACTTTGGCCACTTCAAGACCTGTGGACTTCAACTCCCAGAATTCCTCAATCAGGTCAATTCTGGGAGTTGAAGTTCACAGGACTTAAAGTTGCTGGACACCCCTGTTCTACACAATGGAACCAGAAATTGTGAATGCTCCAACACTGGAAGTTTTTAAGAAGAGATTGGACAACCGTTTGTCTGGCATGGTAGAGGGTTTCCTGCCTGAGCAGGGGGTTGGACTAGAAGACCTCCAAGGTCCCTTCCAGCTCTATTCTGAATTTAAAGATGCCTGAAACCCCCCCCCCCCCCCAATTGCTGCTTTGTCTCCTCTACGGGAGTTCGGCCCCGGTGGGGCAGGGGACTCCCCCTATGGCGTACCTGCTTCTTCCCCATTTCTCTCTGACTTGGGGCCCTCCTCCAGAGGGGAGGTGGGGGGTGACTGGAGAGAGATGAAGGAAGGCTGCTTGGTCAGTCGGCTGTTTTGAGAGAGGATTCTGGGGTACCAGAAGGCCCCTCCTGTTGCTCCTTCCTCCTCTTCCTCCTCTTTTCGCCTGCAAGAGAACAAAGAAAGAGCAACTGAAAGAAACTGAAAGAGCAAGAGCCTTGGTGGCACAGCGGCTAAAGTGCTGTTAAAGTGCTGTTAAAGTTGCCTGCAATGACTGCAAGTTCGAATCTCACCAGGCTCAAGGTTGACTCAGCCTTCCATCCTTCCGAGGTAGGTAAAATGAGGACCCGGATTGTGGGGGCAATAAGCTGACTTTGTATAAAAAAGAACACCACTTAGGGGGGACCAAAAGCCCTACTAAGCAGGTATATACAAAAGTATGAAGGCTATTGCTTAATGCATTGTAAGCCGCCCTGAGTCTCCGGAGGTTCAGCTTGTAGCTTACTCCTAACTTGTTGGTCAGGCAATATATCTGTTTCTTTAAGAAACAACTGGCTACAGTGCATAAATAAATAAATAAGCAGCGCAGAGAAGCGTTCTTTGTTCCTGGTTGTTCCTGTTCCTGTTGCTTCCTGCGTCTTTCTGCTGATTGGTGTTAGACTGGATTGTTATATGGTACTGTATACCGAGAGTTACTAAAGTCTGTTTGCTTTGGTAAGGGAAGATACTTACTGGACTGATATTACTGTTTATGACCTTGGACTGTTTTACCTACACCGAGACTGCTTATTATCTTGTATATAAAGTATTTTTCTCACACGAGCTGCACGTTTATCTCCTTCCCTGTGTGTTTCTGCTCTGCTCGTTGCACAAGCAACAAATACTTTTTACACACACCCTAACAGGCGGCATATAAATCGAACCAATAAATAAATAAATAAATAAATAAACTAAGGTGTTTAAAGGGAGACTGGGCAGTAATGGCGAACCTTTGAGACACCAAGTGCCCAAACTGAGCATGTGTGCATGGCCAAAGTGAAAGGTGCACGCGTGTGCAAATGTGTGCATGCACATGCATGCAAGGACATGCCCGGACATGCGCGAATGTGCCCATGCGTGCATACGCAGCAGAGACCCAAAGACCAGCTGGCCGGCGGTAGATGGGGCATCCCAACACTGGCAGCGCGGCAAGAGATAAGATCTTTGTCTTTCGTGAGCTTCTGTTTCATCATTTGCAGTGAAACGGAAGCTCAGGAAAGAAACGCCACAGAGATCTGACCCGGGGCCAGCAGAGAGGGTGCTACGTGCCACCTCTGGTTCACCATCACGGGTATAGGGTCTCCTGCTTGAGCAGGGGGTTGGACTAGAAGACCTCTAAGTTCCCTTCCAACTCTTGTTCTTCTGGACTCTTAGCTCAGAGGCTGTGAGTTAGTTCTGGCTTGAGCTGACCGCTACGCTCTCCCTCCCCTCCGGCCTCAGCCCTTCCCTTTCGGCCACCTGGCCTCCAGGAGGAGAGGGAGGGGGGGGCGCCGCTTAATGTGACGCGCTTCATCATGTTTGACGTCTGCCTTGGCAGCGGCCGCTACTCAAGACGGAGGAGGGAAGGAGCTATTTAAGAGCCCTTCTCACCTAACCCTCCCTGAAAACAGGACTGCAACGCGCGGGCCCTGGGCCAGCTCCTCGTCTTCCCTTGCCCTGACGGATTCCTGCCTGCGTCGCCCCCCTCCCAGCCCCCACAAAGCACATTCTGACCTAAAAACAGCAAGGAGGTATTTTCTGCCTCATTGACACAGGGGAAGCGGGCGAGGGGCCATCCCAAGTTTACGTAGTCGCCCTGAATTAACTTGGCCGGGGTATTTGTGTGGCTCCGCCGGGCACTGCCATACAAGGAGGGTTGGGGGTCTGCAGAGCTTCCCCGGGGACGGATATAAAGGAAGAGGCAGAGAGAGGGGTGGGGGGTGAAGCTCCTTTCCAGGTTATCCCCAATCCATGGGGAGGTTTTAGGGCTGAGCACCTAAGCCAGGATTTTGCAACCTCTGCCACTTTAAGACGGGTGGACTTCAACTCCCAGAATTCCCCAGCCAGCTGGCTGGGGAATTCTGGGAATTGAAGTCCACTCGTCTTAAAGTGACGGAGACTGAACTACAGGCGCAGGTAGGCCTAGACTTACAACAGTTCATTTAGTGACCGTTCAAAGTTACAACGGCACTGAAAAAAAGGACCCTTTTTTTCACACTTACGACCATTGTGGTGCCCCTACGGTCACGGGATCGAAATTCAGAGGCTTGGCAACTGACTCATACTTATGACGTCACCCATTCCCCTTTTGCGACCTTCTGACAAGCAGAGTCAACGGGGAAGCCGGATCCCCTTAACAACCGTGTCACTAGCTTAACAACTGCAGTGATTCACTTAGCAACGGTGGCAAGGAATGGAGCAAAACTCGCTCAACGAACGTTTCACTTAACAACGGAAGCGTTGGGCTCAACGGTAGTCGAACGTCGAGGACTAAGGGCAACCCTCGAGTTATGAACAGAACTGAGGCCAGGTTTTTGGTGGCTAAGCGAGCCAAACTCTTCATTTTCCCCCGTTTTATGATCTTTCCTGCCATCGTTGTTAAAGGAATCACCGCCCTTGTTAAGAGCAGTTGACTAGCGGGGAATTAGTACGGGACAGGGTAGAAATGAAGCTGTGTGGGATGTTAAAATGCACTGTAATGATTCTGTAAGGGTCTCCTGCTTGAGGAGGGGGCTGGACTAGAAGACCTCCGAGGCCCCTTCCAACTCTTGTCGTTCTCTTTTCACCCTTTGACGCTGCCTGGAGGCTGACAACTTCAAGCCTGATGGGTTGTCGTTATCAAAGGCCCCGAGATGCAGCTACTAACCCCAACCTCCGGGGCTCTGTGGGTCAAGCCTTCAGAAGAATTGTGGGGGGCTGCAGGTTTGTTCCTGGCTGATCTCTGGCTGCTCTGCAGAGCCCCAGGCCCTTAATGTGCTCGCCTGGCCCAGCCCCAAAGGCTGAGCGACGGGAGGAAGAGGGATGTGACGGAGGAGGAGAGGGTCACAGTCCCCGTGCCGTCGCTGGCAAGAGGCACCCTCTCTTCTCTTCTTAGGCCGGGAAGATTTATAGATCCACCAGATCACCTTCCACACAAACTGTTGATTTAAGGCTTCGGGACTGCCCTGAGCTGCAACAACAGATCAGCTGGGTCCTTTTCCACATGCGGCTGCGAGAAGGACTGCAACCCAGGGAATCCTCGGCTTACGACCACAACTGAACCCAACATTTCCGCTGCTAAACGAGACAGCTGTTAAGTGAGTTTTGCCCCATCGGAAGACCTTTCTCGCCACCGGTGTTAAGTGAATCAGTACCACCGTTATTAAGTAGCTTCCCCGTGGGTCAGAAGGTTGCCAAAGGGGATCATATGGCCCTGGGACTCTGCAACCGTCGTAAGTATGAGTCGGTCCCAAGCGGTTGGATTTTGTTCATGTGACCATGGGGGATGCTGCAAAGGCCGTAAATGTGAGAAAGTCATTTTTTTCCAGTGCCATCGTAACTTCGGTCAGTAAATGAACCTGTTGTAAATGAACCTGTTGTACGATCAGAAAGGGGATTAAGTGGGGAATGAAGTCAGAGCGCAACAGGCCAACATGGCCCAGAATTCATTGATGATTTGATTTGGGAATCTGCGTCGTTTGTGTGAACAGCGGAGTCCAGCTCTCTTGCTACTGGGGAGGCACCAGGAGGTCCCCGATGTTCTTGGATGATCAGAAGAAGACCGTCTATCCTTCACTGGCCAGTATCCGTTGCCCAGAATGGCTGGCAGATTAGAGTTATGGATGCAGGGCACCCACTTCTAAGTCTACCTCATTCCACAACTATCACCACGTCCTTCCAACACGGGTTCCCCTGCTGGCTACCAAGACCGGCTTCTCAAGAGCAAAACATGCCATCCCAACGCTGCTTTTTCAGGAGGCAACTGGACTTTCTGGTTTTTCTTGGAAGATGTTTCGCTTCTCATCCGAGAAGCTTCTTCAGCTCTGACTGGATGGTGGGGACTGGAAGGATTGATACTCCTTGCAGACAGCTGGTCATTTGCATCCTTTGAGGCCACCTGGAGGTTTGTCTGTGTCCTCAGGGTCACCTGAGTGGTGCCAATAGGTGGGGAGCCTTCTTGGAACTGCTGAAAGGACTATATTGTAGATTGGAGATAATGTCGTATCCCTCCTCCTCTATTGAGGGAGGTCTGTTGAAGTTGGACCTAAATGTCCTCTTGGACCCTTCTTTCAAACCAGGTGACCCTGTGGACACAGATAAACTTCAGGTGGCCTCAACGACCCTCTGAAAGGATGCAAAGGACCAGCTGTCTGCAAGGAGTATCAATCCTTCCATTCCCCACCATCCAGTCAGAGCTGAAGAAGCTTCTTGGATGAGAAGTGAAACGTCTTCAAAAGAAAAAACAAGAAAATCCAGTTGCCTCCTAAAAAAGCATCTTTGGGACAACCAGGACCCGGATGATCGAAAATCTCCGTAGACCATAACGTGCCACGTTTTGAAGAGGTCCCCTGGCCAAGAACCAACAGGAATTCGGCACAAACTCTCCTTTCATCTTTTGACATCGTTCGGTGGAATGGGACAACTTGCCACGGCCAATCCTGGTCGACTCACCCCGGCCAACTCTCTGTGGAACAACTTGCCATAGAACAATTTCAATGTGGGGTAATTAAGAGAGGGATTGGTAGAACTGAAGTTCGCCCCAATCTTGAGGACTTCTCACCCTGCCGCAATTTACTTCTCTCTCTCTTGAGTTATCCCGCGTGGAATTGTTGTTCCAGGGTGAGTCAACCGAGGCAAGTTGGCCACAGCAAGTTGTCCTAGACCCCCATTCGGGCCCCCTCCTCTTTTAAGGTTCCCACCATGGCTGCAGGGCCAAAGGTCAAGCTTCGAATTTTGCTTTTGCTGTTTCACCCGAGGGGGAGGGGAGAGGAAGAATGGAATGTACAACGAGACAACAGCCATGGGAACCAAGGACACTTCAGGAGGTGTTTGCCAGAGTCAAAAAGACTTTCTCATAACAATATTAAGAAACACAATTGGACGATGTGACCTGGTCTAATAGGGAGAAGGAGAATCTATACTTTAACTACACACGTTTGCGTGGGAAATAGCTAGATCTGGTTTTGCTTTCATACGTGCCGAAATGATGTACTCAACAAAGCTTTGCACAAGGAGATTGGATCGTCTTCGTTGGTGCCTACTTCGCTTGGGTTCATCAGTCGGAACCTCGACACCAAGACCAAGGAGAGCAGCACTGATGCCAACCTGGCTATGGGAAAGAGACCCATTCTTCTGATGGCCCCCAGGCTTTCCGTGCGGGAGAAGACAGAGCGAAGGCAGCTCCCGAGGAACCTCCTTACCTCCAAGTCTGCTTTGCATAGTTTCTCTGCTCAGGTGGGCAGGAGTTTCTAGTGCTGGCTTGCTTGGTCTGGTGCTTCTTCTGGGGATGCTGGAGTTTGCAGTGGGAGCCCTTGGGGCAGACGCCGTGCTTGGAGAAGTCCGGGCACACCAATGTGTGTTTCTTCTTGCACTGAGAAGGAAGACAACAAGATCCACCATGAATCAACAACCTACGGAGGAAGGCAAGGACGGCCTTCTGGAGCTTCTCCAAAGAAGGAACTCAAGCGTTTAGGGAGCTGCTCAAATATCTGAGGTGGCTTCCCAAAGCTGGCCAGCAGCCAGCCCGGAGGAGCTTGGAAGCTAAACGGGGACAGGGTCCAGCATCAATGTTACAGCCAAATAACATTATCAGATAACCTTTTATGGGCTAGAAACACAAAGGGGATTAACGCTTCTGGTCTTGAATTGCACCTTCAACCAGGTCTATGTTGATACAGAAAATGCAAGACACACAACTCTCTCTCTCTCTCTATGTGTGTGTGTGTGTGTGTGTCAATTTAGATGCTTCAACTCAAGCTGAATCCCCACATTGAAAAGGCCAAGGCAATTTGCAGTGGACGTCGTAGAAATGTCACAAGTACAGGTAGTCCTCATCTTATAAACATTTGTTCAGTGACCGTTTGACCTTCCAACGGCACCGAAACAAAGTGACTCGTGACCGTTTTTCACACTTGCGACCACTGCAGCATCCCCATGGTCACACGATCAAAATTTGGATAGCACTGGCACTTAGACTTATATACCGCTTCACAGTGCTTTCCAGCCCTCTCTAAGCTGTTTACAGAACCAGCCTCTTGCCCCCAACAATCTGGGTCCTCATTTTACGACCTCAGAAAGATGGAAGGCTGAGTCGACCTTCAGCCGATCAGGATTGAACTCCTGGCAGTGGGCAGAGTCATCCTGCAATACTACACTCTAATCACTATGCCACCAGGGCCCTTCCTTCCTTCCTTCCTTCCTCCCTTCCTTCCCTCCCTCCCTACTTAGTGCTTTCCAGCCCTCTCTAAGCTGTTTACAGAACCAGCCTCTTGCCCCCAACAATCTGGGTCCTCATTTTACGACCTCGGAAAGATGGACGGCTGAGTCGACCTTCAGCTGATCAGGATTGAACTCCAGTGGCAGTGGGCAGAGTCATCCTGCAATACTACACTCTAATCACTATGCCACCAGGGCCCTTCCTTCCTTCCTTCCTTCCTTCCTTCCTTCCTCCCTCCCTCCCTCCCTCTCCTTCCTTCCCTCCCTCCCTCCCTCCCTACTTAGCATTAGCCCTTAGACTTATATACCACTTCATAGTGCTTTCCAACCCTCTCTAAGCTGTCTACAGAGCCAGCCTCTTGCCCCCAACAATCTGGGTCCTCATTTTACCCACCTCAGAAGGATGGAAGGCTGAGTCAACCTTGAGCCAATCAGGATCAAACTCTTGGCAGTGGGCAGAGTTAGCCTACAATACTACATTCTGACAAGGAAGGAAGCACTAGCACTTAGACTTATATCCCGCTTCCCAATGCTTTCCAGCCTTCTCTAAGCAGTTTACAGAGTCAGCCTCTGGCCCCCAACAATCTGGGTCCTCATTTTACCAACCTTGGAAAGATGGAAGGCTGAATCAACCCTGAGTCAGTCAGGATCGAACTGCTGGCAGGGGCAGAATTAGCCTGCAATACAGGATTCTAACCACTGTGCCACTATGGCTCCGGCATGTACTTATGGCGGTTGCAGTGTGTCCCTGGGGGGATCACGTGATCCCCTTTTGCGACCTTCGGACGAGCAAAGTCCATGGGGAAGCCAAATTCACTCAACAACTGTGTTACTAACTTAACAACTTATTAATGTTTGCTCCAAAAGACGTATTAGGTATTATTTTCCAGTTAGGTCTTATTTTCGGGGAAACACGGTATATAAACTCTGGCTCAGGAATTGCAGAGACTGTATATGGACTCTATGATGGTATTCCTTCTCAGGTTTTTTTCAAGGCTGATATTTCAGGCACAGAGTTGGAGTGAGTGTACGGCTCGGACCCAAAGGAATTGCCAGGCTGCCAGGACAGGCTGGGAGGGAAGCCACAGACCCAGGCCCAATGATGTCCAGGAGGGGGATTGGGGGCCCTTCATTTCAGGAGAAGGACCACTCATGATCAAACTTGGCTGCATTAACGGAGGGACAGAATCAAGATGAGGTGAAGTGTTAGTACCACTTTATGATGCCTTGGTGAGGCCTCACTTGAGATATTGCATCCAGTTTGGGTTACCATGATGTAAAAAAAAGATGTTGAGACTCTAGAAAGAGTGCAGAGAAGAGCAACCAAGATGATTAGGGGACTGGAGGCTAAAACATACAAAGAATGGTTCATGGAATTGGATATGTCTACTCTAGTGAAAAGAAAGACCAGGCAGTGACAGGATAGAGGTCTTCCAATATCTCATGGGCTGCCACAAAGAAGAGGGGGTCAATTATTCTCCAAGGCACCTGAAGGCAGTATAGATGGTACCTGTCTCAATAGCAGGAACTGTGAGACGGATCTTGGAATCCTAGTGGACAATCACTTAAATATGAGCCAATCGTGTGCAGCAGCAGCCAAAAAGGCCAAGACAATCCTAGCTTGCATCAACAGCGGGATAGAATCAAGATCACGTGAAGTGTTAATACTACTTTATAAGGCCCTGGTAAGGCCACACTTGGAATCCGGCATCCAGTTTTGGTTGCCACGATGTAAAAAAAAAGATGTTGAGACTCTAGAAAGAGTGCAGAGAAGAGCAAGAAAGATGATGAGGGGACTGGAGGCTAAAACATATAAAGAACGATTGCAGGAATTGGGTATGTCTAGTCTAGAGAAAAGAAGGACGAGGGGTGACATGTCAGCAGTTTTCCAATATCTCAGGGGCTGCCACAAAGAAGAGGGAGTCACTTTTCTCTCCAAAGCATTCAAAAAGCAATGGATGGAAACTAATCAAGGAGAGCACCTAATCATCCATTGTTCTCAATGGAGATTCTCCGTCATCCAGGTCATGGTTGTCCCAAAGATCCTTTTTTTTTCAAGAGGCAACTGGACTTTCTGGTTTTTTTCTTTGAAGAGGTTTTGCTTCTTAGCCAGAACTGAAGAAGCTTCTTGGATGAGAAGCGAAACGTCTTCAAAGAAAAACCAGAAAGTCCAGTTGCCTCTTGAAAAAAAACGATCTTTGGGACAATCTAGAAATAGAGGGAAATTTCCTGAAAATGAGAACAATGGATTATTAGTTGAACGTCTTGCCTTCGGACGTTTTGGAGGTCGGACAACTGTTTGACTGGAATGGTACATGATCTGCTGCTTGAGGAGAGGGTTGGACTAGAAGACCTCCGGGGTCCCTCCCGATGGTTACTCTCTTTGCGAGAGGAGCAGAGGGAACGGGGATGTACTAAAACGCGCCACGCTTTGCAGCTGAAACATGACCAAATATGGATGAAGAAAAAGGAGAGACAGGATGATGGTCCAAGTCCCTTCCTGGAAATATGGGAAGACATTACATCCAAATGCGTGGGGCTAAATTTACACGTATGCGGTCTGCTTTCAAACCCGAACCGGGAAGGTTTCCTTCGAAGTGCCTCCTTCTGCTTCTGGTTTATCCATCAGAGTTCTGGCCGGTTGCGAGGAGGCCGTCCTCTGAGGTTACGGAACTAATCCATCAGGCGCTGCACTCACACAACACCAATCGAGGCTCGAGAAACACACAACAGCTGGGCAGAGGCAAAGAAACCGCATTCGGACAGCCTTGCCATGTCCACCTAACCTTCGTCTGAGCAACCTCCGAAGCTGGGCGGCCGACGGAGGGACGGGACAGGCCTGCCTCCATGCTGCGGCTCCGACGGATGTTTTAAGAGCGATTTTTGGGACCCTGGACATGGCTGTTGTGCGCACGCAGAAGTAGGCAGAAGCTGTCACCTCTTAGTGGCGAGGACAATTCAATCCCTCTGACGTCAAGGGACAGGCTGGTCTGGAGCCGGGAGTGGCAGAGAAAGCGTGTCTGGAGAGGCTCTCCGTGCCAGGCAAGCTAAAAATACAGGTGCCTCCCCCCAACCCGCTCCGTGGCTGGGTATTTACAGGGTGCCCCTCCTTGTTAGAAATTGAAGATGCCGTCTTGGTCCCCTGTGACGAGGGCTTTTCTCCTCTTGAACCTGCTCAAATCTTTGGTCTGGCCACCCTCCCTGGGGGGGATAAGGAATGCTGGCACTCTCACACAGGAAAATATGTAACCTTACCCGGGTAACAAGTGGACTAGGATCTGTTGACCAGCCTCTCTGCTGTACCCAGAAGAAAACCAACTGGGTGCCCAGCTAATTCTGGGGTTGTGCTCTGCCCGGAGGGTTCTAATGACGCCATAGATTGGCTTACAGAAGAACAGAAGGGGCCTTGGAGGTCTTCTAGTCCAACCCTCGCTCAAGCCGGGTTTTCCAACCTTGGGAACTTTTAAACCTTGAGGCTGGCTGGGGAATTCTGGGAGTCCATGAGTCTTGAAGTTGCCAAAGTTGGACATCTCTGTCTGATTCCCTTCTAGACAAATGGCTCTCCAATCTCTTCTCGAAAACCTCCAGGGATGGTTGTCCCAAAGGTGCTTTTCCAAAAGGAAACTGGACTTCCTTGTTTTCCCCCCCCCCCCTTTGAAAATGTTTCGCTTCTCATTCAGGAAGCTTCTTCTGTTCTATGGAAGGACACTTCGAGTCCCACAATGGACTAACGGCTGCAAAAGTTGATGGAGTTAGCAGAGATGGCTAAATGAACTACTTTAATTAAAGAAAAAACAATACACAATTACTTTGGTTTCGACTTGGAAACCGCTTCTGGACTTTGTGCTCGAGGTGGAAAAAAATGAAACGTTGATTTTGGATTTTACCGATTAGATAGGTTTGTTATAAAAAGGGCTAGTTTATACTATTATGTCATAGTAAAAAATTGAGGTTTCATGTTATCTTATTCTACTGCATCAAATAGAGTTGGAAGTCAAGGCCTTTTCTTTCTTTTTCTCTTTTTCTCTTCTCTTCTCCCTCCCCTACTTTTCCTACAATTCTCTCTTGTATTTTATGTTATAAACTAATAACAGTTAAAAAAAGAAGCTTCTTCAGCTCTAAATGATTGGTGGGGGATGGAAGACTTCTTTGCAA